GCAGTTCTTCCTTCAGGATATATCAGTAATAAGATCACTTCACCATCTCTACTGTGACTACCCTGATCTGAATCATGACATTTCCAAGCTCTCACTACTTCTGCACCTGCCTGTTATCAATACTGAGCGTTCATAAAACATTATTCAGACTGTGTCACTTCTATTCTTCAAGACTCCAAGTGGTTTCCCAAAGCACTCGGAGTGAAAGCCACTCTATCTCCCAACCTTGCATTAAACCTCTCACCTTGGCTCCTATTTGTAGCCCGGCCGTTCACTCTGCCCTGGTTCTTGGTACTCTGCCTCAATGCGCCTCTTGGACTCATGCATTCTGTGTGCAATGCTTTCCCTCTGATATCTGGATAGCTTGTGTCCTTACTTCCTGAGCTCTTTACTCACACATCATATATTGTGCCTTCCCTGGCCACATTATCTACTGTAAACCTCCTTCACATATCCTAGCTCTTTTCCTTTTTCTCCTTAGCACAAAACATGTCATGTATTTTACTGATTTATTCTATTTCCTTTCTACCTACTTTACTAGAATGTAAACAGTAAGGGCACAGAATTTTTGTGTGCTTTGTTCATTTCTCTTTCTCCAGTAATATAGAATTTGCGTGTACACAAGGGAGCCACTGAAAACTCTGGACTCCTGAATTAAAAAGGGTATCTGCCAACAGATCTGATTATGTCCATGTCTATCAAACGCCTCAGCAGCTTCTTCAGAAAGTGGAAATACTGCTGCCTTGGTAAACCTCTCAGTGCATGTGCTGTGGATCATACATTCACATCACCAGGTGTTTTCAAAGCAGGGCTCTGGGTTTTGCTGGATGAAATACTTCTTCCAACAGAACACATCTGCACAGTAAGTGCACACTTCCTAGGTGTCATGCCTTTCTGAACCTCCACTTTATAAGAATTCAGTACATCCACCAAGCTCTGGGTCCCCCTGGATTTACCTGGCATTTCTGTAGTAAGAACTTTTCCTTTTCTGATTACCAAAACCTAAGAGTCTTTCCCTCAGAAGTGCAGTCTACTGAAGTCATAACTGAAGCCTGTGAAACTGTCCTCACCTTTCACTCTTTGTCATTCTTCAAGTAACTACTGCTTGGAAGTAGGCACTCCTGCCAACATGCTACCAAACGCTTGGTGCTTTTACCAATATTTGTCATTTTCCCTTTACTTGGCATGCTATCAAGCTAGACTGTGAGCTCCAGGAAGGCACAGGCAAGTGTGTCCTGCTCACAACTAAATCTGAAGCACAAAGAGGGAGATGGCACCTAGTGGAGGAGCAAGAAATTTCTGCTGAATAGTAAGATCAGGTAAACTTGAGGGCCACATATTTCAAAAGAGGTAAGTGGATCATTAAAAAGAAAAATAACATTTAAAGTATATTCAATTTGTGTATCTCACAGAACACAATTATTCTTTTAAAGGTAAACACAGTAATGTCATGACATTGTTTACCACTGGACTGTGGGATTTTGAGGTGAATTTTAATTCTCCAATATTCCTTATTTACCAAGTCTTTGACAATGAATGTGTCTTATTTTATGATGGAAGGAAATGCTACAAATTGTAAAATAAAAAAATTAAGACTTACTGCAAAGTTTTCATCTCTTTTTCTTAAAATAGAGTATCATATATAGTGAAATATGACCACTGGGTTTTTTATCTCAGTTTGCTACAAAGTGAGTGACAATATGGAATTTCTGCCTTATTTAGCACCAACATAAAATATGTTGATAAAATAACCCATACTTCAAAAATTACTACCTAGGACCTGGATGTCACCAATACTTTACACATTTTTAAAAAATTCCATAGAAATTGGCTTCCGGGAGAACATGGCTGACAGATAACAGCTACTACGGAGGCTCTCTGAAAGACTCGGCTCAGAAGTCAGGAAGGGTACGGAGTAAGGAGACATAAGCCAGTGGAGATATGCTCTGCTGACCCAGGAACAAACTGGGCTGAGAGAAACCAACTTGGAATGCAGTCCTGGTGCTAAAACAGGAACAGAAAAGCCTCAGTGTGGAGGCTGGAGCCCGCACCATTGGAAGCCGCGATTTGGGTTTCCCGCCGTGCGGCGGCTGCCTCTACGTCAGCTCGGCAAGGAGAGAGACGCGCAGAAGCTCTGAGAACAGGGGTCTGCGAACAGAATCGAAAACAGGACGGGCAGGGAGGCATGCACTGGCTTGTGGTGAGGTGAGTGAGAGAAACTGACACTCTACCACAGTTTGACTCCAGCGGAGGTCATTCTGGGCCCGGGCAATCCTGCGGGAGCAGTGTGCGGTGGCGACTTCAGCCACACATCCCCCTCTCAGGCGGGATTGGTGAGGGGTGCCTAGCCTACATGACTCTGCTGGCGGACCCAGTGGGCTGGCCCAACCCAGATCCCAGAGCCTGACGGTGGCCGGGAGGGGCAGGCCCCACGTAGGCTGCCTGGTCTGGAACTTCCTGGTGCGCTGCGGTGGGCAGGAACACCTAACCAGTGAAATTCGATCAGGCTGTGGCTGACAGGGAGGGAAGCTGAGCCTCCTATGTAAGCTTGCATATATAAGGAACAGAGAATATGGGAAGAGGCAGCAACAAGAAAGGCTCCTCGGCCCCCAATTCTGAGAAACAGGTAATAGCGGACACCGCACCAATAGACATAAAGCGCCATATAGAGAGCCTCATAGATCAGTTCAGGAATGAAGTTATCAATGACCTGAAGCTAGAAGTATGCAGAATAGTTAGAGAAATGCTAAGCACCACCCAAGAAAAAACAGATGGTGGAATGGAAGAACAGAAAAAGAGGGGAGAATTGTTCAATGGAGAAAACAGAGAAAGCATGGAATACGTGAAGCAGGTTCAAAGGGACTACCAAGAAACTAAGAAGTCTATCGAAAACTGGCATAACAGCTTGAAAGAAACTAAGGACAGACTATCTGAACTGGAGGGCAGATTTGTAATATGGGAGAATGAAATGAAAAACTTCTTAAAAATAACAAAGAAACAAACAGCAATAATACAAAGACAAGAAGATGATAAGAGGATCCATAACTTAAGGATTAAGAACATAAAAGAAGAAGTAGGGACACAAACAAATGAACTACAAAAGCTACTCACAGATATAATCCAGGAGAATTTTCCTAATTTAGCAAAAGGTAAAGATACTCAGATGTACGAGGCATACAGGACCCCAGCTACCTACAACCCAAACAGAGCAACACCCAGGCATATAAGAATAAAAATTCCAGAAATTCAATACAAGAACAGAATATTAAAAGCTGTCAGAGACAAGAAACAGACCAATTACAAGGGAACACCCATCAAAATTACAGCAGATTTCTCTGCACAAACCATCAAATCACGAAGCGCGTGGGGGGAAATAATTCAAGCTTTGAAAGATAATAATCTCCAGCCAAGATTGAGATATCCTACACAACTGTCCCTGGAAATTGATGGAAAAACAAGGTGCTTCCAGGATAAAGAGGAACTGGGGGAATTTGCAACCACCAATTCAACTCTCCAGAGAGTATTGCAGGATATTCTAAAAAAAGAAAAATACAAAGAATCCAGAAATAGTGGCAGGGAGGCCACAACGAATGGAGCAGAGAACAAAATGAAGAAGACAAACTGACAGCTACTGACAGAAAAAGAACTCAACAGAAATGAGGCAGAGAAGATTGGATGATAGGAACAGCTATTTTGGAGAAAATGACACCTTAATAGGTAATACTGATCTAGTATTATCTTGTTTTGAAGTCTCATCAAGCTTTTGTTCTTCTGTCTCCATTGGTCTAAATAGGTTGTATCTTATTGGATTTTATTATGTACGATAGTATAAGCAAAAACCTTTTAAAGACAAGGAGATTATACAGAAACCATTGTTCATTTTCTGTTAGTCGATTCTAAATATCCTGTAATGCTGTCATTCTCTTAAATGGTTTTACATTGTTTTGATATATTTAATGCTACAGTATACGAAGTTGTACTCAAGGATTTCAAGGAAAGAGACAATATGGTAACTACTTTTATGTCAGGATTATCTGGTGGTGAAACACTATTCTGCTTAAATGGTTATGTTTTGATCTGCGTTGTTTTGCTGTTATGCCCTTTTATCTCAATCTCCACTCCATTATTTACTGTTTTATTTTTATCCTTTTAATTAAGGGAAAAATAAATAAAAATAGCAGGATATGTTATAGTAACCCACTTTGACTTTCCATTATCTCGATTTAAAGCCCTGTATTACTCTCACCATCTTGTTTTTGACTGATGTTCCCCTATTCTGTTTTGCTGGATAGTATTAGGTTCGAAAGTTTAGGCAACAGCTGTGAAGATAATGAGATTCATTAAGACGCCCATTCTCGTTGACTTTTATCTACTTTTGAAGACCTACAATATCTCCAATGTTTTGGTGTTGTCGGTTTTGTTCTTTACTGTTTTGTTCAATTTTATTATAACGAATGATATAGGCAATTCTATTAGATATAGCAGGAGGCATTATGGTAACCATTGTTGATCACCTTGTATTATGTTTTTACATTATCTATTATGTCCACCCTTTTGATTTGACGGACTCTGTTCTGTTATGTCACATTTGGTTTTACTCTCTTCCAAAAAAGTAATAAGAAACGTGGGAGCAATGAAACCCAAAATGTGTAATAGTCATTGTACAAAAGAGAGGAGAAGAAAGTGCTCTAAACTATATAACTGCATGTATATTTAAGGGTATAAGATACAAAATGATATCACTGAGTTTTATTGGATCATTGAACAGAACTGTTTGCAGTATCATTGTTGGAATGTCCACTTTACAAGCTTTAATTTTGTGACTTGAACAATTATTTCTAAGATGACAATATGTAATCCATTAACTAGTGATTTCCTACTGTTTTTTTCTGTAAATCTGTATAACTTGTACCCTTTCTCTGCTTTTTTTTCTCCTTAAATAAAATTTTAAAAAATTCTATAGAAACTATGATTAACAAAAATAATCTAGATTCTTGTTTGATGCATAAAAACAAAACTGTAAACTTTATTTTATATTTGAGAGTAAACATGACAAAAAAAGAACAAATTTTTGTCTTTCTAAAATGAACTGTTAGGCTTGCCTAACTGGGACATTCTTCTCTGCTCTGGAAGGTTTGCATTCAACTCAGTGGAGAAGCAATTCTAGAAAAGAAAAGTAAAGAAGGTTAAACAACATGAAAAGAGGAGTATACATATGCCATACTTTGCTAAAAAGGAAATGACTGCAACAAGATTCTCAAACCATATAATGAATGCTATGATTAACATAAATTTTCAGCCTGCCAGGACATGATCTTATGTATCTGTGAGGCATACAGATAAATCAGAGTGTAGTAATACCATTACAGAGATCATTTTTGCAACACAAAGACTTCCATGCCCCCATATGTAGCCCACAAAAGTCCAGTTCCGTTAGTCTAGTTACACTGCCATACAGGTGCACACTGTGATCATTTATACACACAAGCACTTCATTAAACGTATAGTACAATGCTACATAATAATAATACACATGCAGTATTATTACAGTATATAGTTACACATCGTAATTAAACACAGTATCACAAATACCCATTTAAACACATACAATATTCTATCAAAGGATCTCCTTTTTTTCTAAGTGATTTTTCATTTTGCATACTAGCAAACTGAGAATCCGTTTATGCTATAAAATAGTGGCATAACTGAAACTAAATCCAGCCTCCTGACACCATTTTAAATGATCTATTAATCTATTCCACTGTAACTAAGGTTAGGAATTAACATCATAAACTTTAGTAGCCCATTACAGTTTTCCAAGCATTTTCACATACATTATATTGCTTAGACCACACACACAAAAAAATCTCAGATGACAGTATTAAAGAGTTGAAAGGTAAATTACTTGTTCTGTAAATACCAGTAGTTAATGATCTGGGGCTTCTGGCTCCTAGACCAATACTTTAGTTCTAGAGGTACTCTTTTTTTTCCTACCAATCATTTTATTCTTACTTGACCTTTCAGTTATTTTGTGAAAAAGGAGGCCCAGGCCAAGTCTGGGAAATCTGTAAGCCTATGTAATTGAGGCCCAGGTAATCCTAGGTATAGGATTCTGTGATCCTTCACTCAATTCCTTTTAATACCCCCCTGCACAGGTTTGGGGAGCAGGGAGCTGTAACTAACAAGTAAGAATCAGGATATCATTCCAGATCTTCCGGACTCCTGAAGTCATAGTCCTTACCCTGGATATGTGGTGTGTTTAACACGTATTGAGGCCTGTGGCCAAGACAATTTACTAAGGGTGTGTGTCATGGAGCTGAAGTGTCACAGCAGGCAGATTTCGTTTCTTTGCTCCCTGTAAACCTGAATTATGCATACCAAATAATACAGCATTCAAATAATTTGGCACCTCCCTTGTTTACCTTCCTACCTTCCAAATACCTCTAATAATACTGATCCTTTTGGAATTAAACCATTTGTGGTCTGTGTTAGACAAACCAAAATGATGGCAGAAAGATAAATAAAAATCAGAGATTGTGCATGTGAACTTTATATCCTATTGGTGATTACCTCTGGTTTCCTTCTCTTCATCAGTGCCATCTTCTTCCGTTGTTGTTCCAAGCATTTCAGTACCCTCATTCTTCGCTTTTCTTTCTTTCCTCAAATGCTTCGAATTTCTTATACGGAAAGGATGGGCAAATTGGCTGTAATGTGGAAAGTACAAGTGAAACTATTTCTCAACGGTGTCTAGATAACTCTGTACTTCCCATCTGATTTTTTTTAACTCATTCTAATTTAAAAATCTGATAGAAAGTATTATGCCCAGATCTTTTGGGGTTATCACTGTAGCTACCATGTACACAGCCATTTTGTTCATTTGATCCCCATAACAGGGATTGTGACCTACTTTCCTCTGCTGACATCATTGTTACCTAACCTTCAATACTCAAGATACTTTCTTGTCTATGAAGCCTTCCTTTCACTCCTAGATCAGAAAGATTCCTCCTTCCTAAAACTTTCAAATGAAATAGAGTTGGTTCACAATGTATTTGCATATACAATTTTCACAAGTACTTTAACTTACTATTGTTATAATCTGATATTCAACACCATACTCCCTTGGGTTCCTGTGGCTGGTAAGTGGAGAAGTACATGAAAGGCCATTATATGCAAAAATGTTTCCTAGGTGCCTCACATATTTGTTCATTTGATTCTCAAAATAACTACAAAGTAGACAGTATGCTTCCTATTTTGCAATTCATTAAATTGGGGCTTACAGAGGTAATATAACTCACTTAAGGTCACACATAGGTGGTAAATAGAGATGCTAGGATTTAATATTAGGTCTGTGTGACTTTAAGTATAGTTTCTTTCCATTAGACCAGACTACAGTGTCCACTAATAATGGCTAGCAATCACAAACACCATATACTGCCTGCTGCTAAGGCCTTTATATGCAAGATCTCATCTCTCATCTTTATGATGACTTCAAGAGATAGCTACTGTGTATACCATTCAAGTTTTTAGATGGAAAAACTGAAGTGACAAAAATAAAAATAACCTGCCTGATGTCACCCAATTAATGTAGTATTGGAGCCAGGATTCAAATCCAGATCCACTTAAATCTAAAGTAAAATTTCACCCTGACTCGTCAAACCTGTATCTTTCTCCTCTACAAGCTTACAAATTCCTTAATACTAGAACCTTGTAATTTTTATACCCTTCTGAGGAAATGGAAATGTTAGTTGATTTTTATCAAGAAATACTAGTTGACTTGTTTGTATGGCTTTCACGGTCTTAAGAACCACAAGACAAGAAGAAAAAACTAAATGTTTATGGCAGATGTAAAAAGAGAAACTCAAGATGAAAGAGAGAAACACTTGCCTCCAGTATTATGAAGAGGTGATAACAGATGAATAATCATCCTATTTTCCGCTCAGTACTAGGTAGCACACAGAAGAGAACACTGAAGCCATTACAGTGTTACTCAGCAACACAGAACAACCAGGTTCTGAGTATGCGAGGCCCAAAGATAGATAAGCCTGTGTTTGAAATGATGGCTTTGAAAATAACACTCACTTTCCTCTTCTAAAATCACATTACCGGGTTGTCACTGAGCTCCACTAGGTAAGACAGATGTGGAGCAAAAAAACTTTTTTTCTCAATCATAAAAAGTCTCTGGGAATAAATGAAATAGTGAGTAAAAGCTCCAAATATATTTATATGATTTACCTATGGTCTCTTTATGTTGCCATGTTGTTAACTACAGCCTCAAAAAATAATAACTGAACAACTTAGCTTTCAGGTCCTTGGGAACAAGTATGTTTCAAAATACAAACTGTGGGGGATTTCAGAGGTCAAATGATATGATATATACTCCAATGGGATCTGGGGCAATATCTCATAACCAAACATAATAATAGTTCTTCAACAAAATATGTATATGCACTCTAAACTGAAATATTCACTAGAAACAATCTCAGGTTAGGTCAGGTCAGATCAGGTTTCGCTGCTTATGTGACTTTTAAAAAAATCTAGGTTTACAGAATGTTTGATGAAAAATTTAAAGATTTATTTTTTCTAATATTGTGAGTCTAATAAATCTTATTTTCCATAATCAAAATTAACAGGTTTCCCTGAACTGAAGGTTTTAAAATTGGTAGTATATATTTTACTTTAACAAAGCAAAATGCAATATAGTCTGATTACTTTAAAAATCCAATGCTCTAACTTGTCTATGTTTTAGAGAACCTGGTTTCAGATTTAGTCTTATCACTAAATGGTAATTTAGTTAACATTCCTTTCGGAGGTCCAAAACTAGCTATTCTACTCAATTTCTAACTACAATGTCCAAGGGAAGAAAGCACGGTGAAATGACTTGTTCAGTATCCTAGAGGTGACATTTTATATGACATTCTTCTCATATAAAATGTCATAGAACTTGACCAACATTATTAGTGGTTACAGTTAACTTGTAATGCACATTCACTCAACACATTTGGTCATTTATGAAATGTATTATTCTAAATATTAGAAAGATAAGATAGATAAGACATAAAGACCTGTCCTTAAGGAATATAAATTAAAAGGAAAGGCTAATAATTGTATCACACTGAGATAAATCAAAGCAGATCTAAGAAGAGACAGAAAGAACCTTGACCATTTGTGAGCAGGAGGTTTGAAATAAGCTTCTTAAAAAAAAAGTGACATCTAAGTTTAAGCTCACAGCCTGAGCAGAGTAAACCAGAAAAGGAAGAACAGAGGTGGGGGGATGACCAAGAGCCCTTCAGTAAGTGAGTACACCCAGTAAAATGTTCAATGTGGCAAGGTGGCACACTCTCTGTGAATATCAAGTACAGCAGTGCAGCTAGGGACATGAAGTGAGTCCACAGGCACTTCTAGTGATACAGATCCACACAGTTGTGGGACTTTTATTTCCTCTGGGAATTCCCAGGAGCCTAGATCTAAGAGCAGAGAAGCGGTACAGATTCAGTTTAAGTAAAGCAAGGAAGCCAAAGAGAGTGGATTGAAGCACTAGGTAACAGGATCCAGGCTGAATAAAAGAAAGATGATGTTAGGAAGGTGGCAAATGAGGTAAAAACCATAGAGTTAAAGACCCTGTATGTCTCAGCATGTTAAAGAACTGGTGTATCAAGAATAAAGCAAGAATAAAAAGCACTTGTTAAGGAGTAAGATTTTTAAAGTTGAGATTTCAGAAGTTCAAAAGCTCAATTTTGGGGGATGACAATTTTCAATATATGCATATAAAAACAGGGAAGACAAATGTGTGATAGATCCATCAGAATTGAATACACCAGGTGACAGAGGTTTAGATGGCTAAAATGAGTATGAGATTACCAAGAAATATGGTCAAATGTAGAAGCATATAAGACCTAGAAAATATGTAGACCAAAGCAAGATTTCATTAGATATTTTCATAATGGATAAATGAATAAAGTGTTGAATTAGAGAAAGTCTAGTGTAATTTCAAATAGGCTGGTGTCAGAATTTGAGAGCCTTAAAAATACAAATTTCAAGGCTAACCTCAAATTTAATCAGAATCTCAAAGGTACAGATTGTAGTATTAAATAATGTACTCCCAGCATTACTTCCATAATAGCCATATACAAACCAAAGTTTGAGAAACACTGGACTAGTGGTTGATATTTTTGAGATGGAGTCTGTCTAATGTTGCCCAATTCAGCCTCCAACTCTTGGGCTCAAGTGATCCTCCTGCCTTAGCCTCCGAAGTATCTAGGACTACACTGCCTGTGAGTTGATGTTCCTCTATGTTTAACAAATTCTGTTTCATCAATATAAATGTTAATCCTTTAAGGCGATTAAAAATAGCTTAAATTTAATCGATAAGAAACAGTTTAATATACCACTTGCAAAGTCACAAAAATATGCAGAAAATCCATAGAAACAACTAAGTAGATTATTTACCTCAATATTTGTTGAGGTAAATAATACTTACTACCTGGTCCAGAGAGGACAGAATGGTTCTCCAGTTTTACTATAAACAAGACACATCTGTTGGGCTTGCTGTAACACAGACTGCTGTGAACCATGAAAAAACTTCTGGCTCAGTACGTCTGAGGTGGAGCCTAAAAATATGCATTTTTAAAGCTCCTAGGGAATGCTGATGATACTGGTTCAGAGACCCCAATTGGAGAACCACAGATCTAGACTCACAGTATGAGACCTGGCCCTCAGGGAAGTTAGAAGTTAGACACAGAATGAAAACAGTAGAAAGCAAAGAATACTTACGTGTTAAATTCTGTGCCCCAAAACGGAAGTGCAGAAAAAGGTCCTGAGAAGAGAAAAAACACTGGGACCTGGAGCAGTTGAGAAACATTTCATAGAAGAGATACGGTAACTGCAATTTTTTAAGAAGAGAAAGAATTCATGTAAGGGAAGAGGATAAAGAAGAAAAACTAAGAAATAGGAGCAACAGGCAAAATAATAGAGGTGGTGTAAACTCTGAGGCTGTCAAGAAGTGTAAAGATATCACCCTGGTTAGAGCAAAAGATATGTGCACAGTGTTTGAAATAATATTACAGAATTTATAGGATGAGCCAGACATACATGAGCCTAAAGGCCATGACCCTTTGAGAGGACCTAAACTGACAAGAAGTCATCATATTTTAAATCTACATTTGTTTCTTTTATCCTACCTGTAGTAGAAAAAGCAAAATTCAGAAGACGGCTTAGAATCTTTGCTGTATTACTGTTTAAACTTTTTAAAAAATATTAGAACTGGGGGCTGGGGATTTAGTTCAGCGGCATAAGCACCTGCCTTGCAAGCAGGCAGTCATGAGTTCAATCCCTGGTACCGATAAAAAAGAAAAAGACAAAAAAATATTAAAACTAAATTTTTAATGGTACTGGAGATCAAACTCAGGATTTCATAAATTCAAAACACACACTGCCACCAAACCACCTCCTCAGCCCCTCAACTATGAAATCTTAAGCAAGAGGCCAATCCTCTCTCCATCTGTCTGTTTTAAAGGAAAATAGGATAATACAATTGAAAACCATACAGAAACTAGAAAAGGCCAAGCACATGCTAATTGTTTTTATCTATACATCTTTCTATGGAGAACAATATTCTACCTTGGGTACTTGTATATATCCCTTTTTAGACCAGGAATCCTTGAGTACATATAGTGTGAACTGATTTACCTCTGTGTCCTTTGTAACA